GTACATATTTCCCTTTAGACACAGTTCTTGGAAAAATGTGTCACAAATAAGACATGGATCCTACATTGCTACACAGAGTAATTAAGGCATATACTAAGAGCTTAAATAAAACTTGGCATACAGACATAAATAAGTAGAGAACACCATAGAAAACTATATCTAAATGGTAAGCAGCAAATTCATAGTCTGTAAGTACATGAAGAGACAAGTTATCATAGTATATTTTATGATTGAGTTGCTGCTAATATACAGAGATAGAGATATTTATTAAGAGATGCATATTTTTTATTTAAAAAGGGAAAGATCAAATGATGTAGGTGACTTAAACATGAGCAATTAATATTTTTCTGCACTCAGTATCTTTTTTAGCAGATATATAAATTTTAATTAATTCCAACCAGTAAAATGGAGAAATGGTATAAAGATTATTCTCTATGAGTAAAACTACTTAAAAATAGTACCATAACTTACATTAGTGTCCAAATGTTTATTCCTGACCAAAAAAAAACCTGCTTTAGAACGATTTCTGTAGATATGATTTTTTATAATAAATATTTTTGTGATTTTTTTGCACATTACTTGATATAGTTATGCTTCACATTTTCTATTCTGTGCAAAATATAGACCTGAGAAAGAGTCAAATCTCTGCTGCCTCCTCTGCAAAGACTTTTGATTTCTCCCAGCACATGTTCCATCTACCTATTTTACCACCTATATTCTGAAAGAAAAGATTTCTAACTTCTAAACTCCCTTGATATTTGAGCTATCTTTTAATTTTTAAGCTTATATCATTTATATAATGAATACAGTGCTTTCAGTAAAAATGGCTATTATTATGCACCTGGTTCATTTACAGGGGTTTTTTTTTTTGGTTTTATTTACAATGAAGTTTTTTTAAAAAAGTTAATGTTGAAAGAGAACACTAAGAAAAGACCACCGACACCAATTTGAAATTAAATTAAATCAAGATTGTATTGTGTACACAAACCTGGCCAGAACTGTCTCTTACAAAACTCCATGCTAGAGATCACCCCCTGATCTTCAGAAAAAAGTATTTTCAGCACAAAATATTACAAAGAATGTGGGTGTCTCGGGTACTATACAACTAACAAGTTTTTGACAAGCATAAAACAAAGGCAGATAGCAGGTTAAGGATCTACATGTCTCAACATTTCAAGGTAGGAAATAAATTGAACTCCAGACATTAGAATTTATGAGCTGCCACTGAGATTTAGAGAGAGTTGTTATTTGGTCAGTGGGAGCCAGGATTTATGAGGCACCAGTAAGGTTTTAGAGAAGGTTGTTATATGGTCAGGGATAGCCAGGCATATTTGAATTCAAAGCACAGGTAGAAATTCCAAACAAGTTTAAAACATCAAAATATTGTTAGGCCAAAGAGAATTTTTAGTTTTCTTACAGAAAATAAAAATAAACTTTTTATAGCTTTTTGACAAGATGTCTCCCAGTCTTATACTGGAATTAG